AGTCTGATAATATATCTTTGGGTAGTACTGATCTTAGTAAATATTTTGTATATAAAAAAAATATAGATCTAATAAAAAAATTGATGGTAAGAATACTAAATTATCAAAAAATAAAACTAATATTAGCAAAATTAGTGAGGATAATATGCTAATAAAATCTAATGTATTATAGATTATATCTGAAAATATGATATCATATCTTGCACAATAAAATAATAATATATTCTTATTGATTAAATCATATTCTCAGATTTTAATAGAAGGAATAAAAGTAATAAGATCTAGTCTCAAGACTTTATCTCTCTCTATTATAGCAAGTACTTTAATAATATTTTTATCAGCATATATATTACTTACTTTGTTAATTATTACTATTATATGATTCATTATATTGAGATGTGAGTGAAATATAGGTAAACTTGAAGAGTTATTATTTCACAATAAAAAATATGATTGATCATGGAGTGTATGGACTAGATAATTGAATATTAGAATTTAACTTGAATATTTTAGTTAATTATATATCTTAGAGTATTACTTTTTTTCAAACTTGAAAGAAAAAAGAAAAAAGAGTATGAGAGTATAGATAAGATTGCTTTTCTGGAATACAAGTGAAATTTTGAGACTAAAATAAAAGTTCCTATTACTTCGCATAAAAAAGAATTAAAAAGTTAATTTATAACTCTTATTAAATATACATAATATTTCAAAATAATATAATTTAATTAAGTAAAATACTTTGGCTAGAAGTATATTATTATATTTATCTAGCTATATATTTTAGGTAAAGGGATTTTTATTATTTCTTATAAATAAGTATAAGAAAAAATTCAAATTAAAAATTAATATTTTGATATCTAAATCATATAAAAGAGTTTTTATATTATATGATTTTGATTAAAATAAAGTTCTAGATAAGTATTTCTAATATAAGAGTAAGATAAATTACAGAAATTTGTAGAACTATGTGATCTTAGAAATCTAATATATAGGATAAGATAAATGATCACATTACAAATATTTGATAACTATTTTTGTATTGTGTAATTTTGATTAAGATATAATTTTGGATAAGTAATAGATTAAAATAATCATATTATAAAATGTAATATGTATGTGATATACTTCAAATAGTACTAGTAGAGATAACTTATGCTAAAAATTCTTAGATTATCAAAGTAAAATTATTATAGGAAAGTTATACTATTGCTCTTTGATAGGTTAAATGTAATATATTTTTTGAATTATCAAAGTAAAACTATATTATATATAAAAATTGTACTTTAATAAGTTAAATGTGATATAGATCATTAAAGATTTTTTAATATAAGTACTATTTTAAATAAAATAGAGTGAAATATCAGTATTTCAAAATAAAGTATGCATATAATATATAAAATTATATTTTGATGAAACATCAAAATTTTTCAGTATGAGTAATATTTCAAGCAAAAAAGTAAATCATTAAGAAATAATTATTATAGATAAAAAATATATAAAATTATGCTTTGATAGGTTACCAAATAAGTATTATTTTGAGTAAAAAAGTAAAATATCAAGATATAATTATTACAGATAAAGGATATATATAATAAAATTATACTTTAATAAGTTACTGAATAAGAATAATAATTTGACATTACATATCTTATTATTAAGTAATATTCAAATAAATTATGTGAAGCTAATAATTGCTAATAATTCAGTATTATGTATTTTATTATCAGATGTTTTGATATATTATCAGATATGTTAATAATTCAGCACTACATACCTCATTCTCAGATAATATTTGAATGAATTATATGATGTATATTTAATAATATTTATGAAATTATTTTTTGATAGTATAATCTGATAATATAATCTGATAATATATATATAATAGTATTATTAATAATATTATTGATAGTATTTTTTATAATATACTTAGCATATATATTTGATAGTATTTATATAACATATTTGATAATATTTTTTGATAGTATAACCTGATAATATATACATAATAGCATTATCAATAGTATTTGCATGATATATTTTATATATATATTTGATAATATATATTCAATAATATGATTTGATAGTATAATCAGATTTATGTATATAATATAATCAGATAATGTGTATATAGTATATGAGATAGCAATTAGATAGTATTAATTGATACAATTATGCAATACATATTTGATAGTATTCTCTGATAATATTTATGATATATATATCAATAGTAATTATATATATATATTTAATAGTATATTCATACTCATAATGATAATATATAATTGAATATATCATCAGATATATTTTTTTTACCCATGTGGTCTAATGACAGAAATTGATTATAATTACCAAACCAATATACATTATATTGCATGTAAGTGATGATAAAAATTTGCTATAATTGTCATATTTTTTATAAATCATAAGATATCTAAGTGTGATGATGTAAATATAAATTCATCATCATATTTTTTATAGATTATGAATATTTAATTATGATAATAAATTTGTGAACTAATTATCACTTGAATGATGATGCATATATGATCTCATCATCATATATAATTTAGACTAAGTAGAAATAATATAATTATATTATTTCTACTTAATTATATTATAATATAAAGTAACTAATAATAAATAATTTAATTAATATTTTACTAAAAATTTATATTATAATAATATAATAATTTTAATTGAATTATTTTTTTTAATATTAGATCTTTATTTTGCATTATCTATATAATAAATTATTCTTTGTATTATTTTTTTTGAGAATTAATTTTATATTAGTATATAGATAATCATTTATATATTAAATTAATTAAATTTTATATAAATAATTATTATGTATATTATAATTTTAAATTTAATTTTTTAATATTTTTAATTAGATTTTTAATTAATATTTTTTTATTATTTTAATTTATTCTTTCTTATTTATTTATTTATTATTTATTATATTTATAATTATTATTATTTATTAAATTATAATTAGTTACTCTTCAGAAATACAAATTAAGATAATTAATTCTATTCAATCATATATATTTTATTTAATTAATTATTATTAATTTATTTATACTTTATATTTATTTCTTTTCTTATAAATAAATTCTCTCTATTCTATATTTTTATCTTAGATCTGAATATCATTCAAATAATAAAATCATAAGTTTATAATTTATATAATATTTTATCTTATTTACAAATATTAAAAAATAATTTTACATACTATATATTATTAGATATATTTTTTTGCTCATGTAATGGTGTCAGATTTCTATACTGATGATGATGTCATCATGACACATATTTTTTATAGATCATGGATATCCAAGTGTAATGACATGAACACAAAGTCGTCGTTATATTTTTATAGATCATGAATATTTAAATGTGACGACGAGTTCATAAACTAATCGTCACTCGAATGACGACATATACATGGTCTCGTCGTCACACCTGAGGCTATTATAATCCAATCTAAGTCGTTTTTTGTTTATATAAACAAAAAACGACTACCGATTTTGAAAAATAGGGGAGTAGCTTCTTTCGGGAGTAGCTATTTCGGGAAAATACGATACACATTGATCCTGCGACTGATTGGTTTACCCCTTAAAAAATCATACGCAATTAAGGTATGAATGAAATATATGTTTTTTCAGTTGTAATTTACAAGACTTGCTTCTTTTTTCGTAGCATCTCGGAATGCAAACAATATAAATTTCGGCAGGAGGTTTATGGACAACGACAGGCAAGACCCCGGAAAAATTCTGCTATAGATAAATGGGAATCAACTGGTATAAAATGGAATTTTTATATAAATATGTATATATATGTTACAAAAATTTTTTTATTTTGAAACAAAAATTATCGTTACGTTTATTTATGAAAAATGCCTGCTATGTAAAAAACGAATAACTGCATATAGTCGTTTTCTGAAGATTTTCGTTATGATAATGGAATTTTATTACAAGTCACTCAATTAAATGGGGGCATAAAATAATTATTATTTCGCATATTTATACAACAGCAAGTCATAAAAAATCATAATCTTGTACAAATAACAAAAAATCGTTAAATTCGACACTTAATAATAATGTATCTATGACACTTTTACAAGAATAGACTTGATTTTTTGGAACAAAATTTCATATCAATTATATTTAGTTACCAATTTCATCATGTAATGTAGAAAGAATCTCTTCGTGCAATTACAATTATGTATTATAATAAGAATATAATATTATATGATTAATAAAATTCAATTTCGGGGATTTTTCCGGGTCGCCTTCCTAGGATATTAGCTAATATTTGTCATTCCCTACCCTGCATTTCTTGTATAACTGATGACCGATTTTATTCTATCCAAGAATATCGATGATTGGGACAAATGAAACCGGATATGGATTGGGATAATGTGTTAGTATATAGTTGGTTAAGACCAGCGAAAAACTCGTAAACATTAGTGTAGAAACACCGTTTTGCAAACCCACATAATAATCTCTTACATTGGGCTCGTAAGCGTAAAATTTTAGTAACGTTGAAAAAAAAACTAATGATAATTTGACCACAAAATGATATTTTTTTTTACTAAATGAAGAAATTAAATTGTCTTCAATCCAACAAAGATGATGATGTTAGGTTAGTATCATTTTGCATTTTTTGTATTACTACGATAACGATAACGATAATCCCATACAATTTTTACTTACGTAATTTTATGCAATTGAAAGAGCGATTGATCTGCATACAATTTTCTAAATCCTTAAAGTAAATAAAGTAAAAGGATCAATTGTCAAATTGTTGAAAATAAATACTTGCTAATAAACTTGAAATGTGTGTTTGTATTTACGCCGTCTGCAAATTCAATAATAATGACATTATTAAGGTAAAAATTTTTCTATGCTCCATATGCATGTAATTTTTAAGTATATAACTAGACAAAGAAAGACCAATCTTTTCATTCTTTGATCCTTTCAATCTATTAAAAAATGGGATTTAAAGAATTTCTCGAAGTAGCTCTAGTCCTTTTCCTGAATCTGTTGGTCTTGATTACTTTCCCAGCCAAATTACCTGATCCCCCCAAACAAGCTACTAATCCACTTACTGGTTTCCCGGAGTGGCATGAGGAAAAAAATGGTATTCATTAGTAAATTTTCATTAATCCCTTGAAAAGCATAGCGAACAATACATTAAAATTTGTAATCAATAAACTTTACAGATGAATTTCCCGAACAAGATCGATCATATGGCATTTTAACTTCAGTAGTGACCCTTATTGCAGCAATCGTTGCTCTAAAAATCACCGCAAAAAGTTTAACGAGTCCTTCTCCATGCAATTCATACTTTTACTTCAAAAGTAACCCACCTATCCCAGCTGGGCTATTTAACCGTTTATTAGCATTCTATAGTTTATCAACATTTTTTACTTCAATAGCGTATTATGTGTTTGATGCGGGAAAAATTTTCAGCATGTTTGGTGCCTTTCATAATTTCCTTGAGGTTGCAATTATGTTGTTGTTGCATAACGGTGGAAAGGTCATTTCCTATTTGTGGTATTTTGGACTGTTGAGCGTGTATTTTATAGTGGTGCAAGCTGGAAATATTTGGTTCCCATGGCCGTATGATGCACTGTGGTTTAAAGGACAAGGTGAGGAAAAGAAAATTGTACGAAATACCGTGATAACCTATTAAAATATTACAAATTATCTACAGGTCTTACGCAAGATTACGCGCTTTTAATCCTTTTCTTCCGAATTTATTTCCTCACAAGAAGGAATCTGAAAGATGAAGCATCAACTGAATTGCCAATAACTCGTGATGAAGACGGAGAGGAACAACAAACCGGTGGCGAGAATGACGACAATGTTGATGTTAATTACTTTCCACCAGTTGTCAATCATCCTCGTGAATATTTATTGATACTCGTTGCAATTTTTATTCATTGCGCGGGAAACGTTACGATTACTTTTTATCCATCAGACAATATGTTGTAAGTTGAACATTCATTAATTCTTTCTTATCTGAAAGTTTATTCCTTGCACATAATTTAATAATGATAAAAAAAATCAATTTCAGCCTCTATATCTTCTCGATGTCCTACTGTATAACATTCCCGATATATACATTCTATCTTTACCTCGAGACGTATACCAGGAATGCCACGCAAGCCCGAAAACGTATATATCTCCCAGAAAATCCACCCTACAAAGTTTGGTCTATTGCTTTGTGGGCCTTCCTCTTTGCTTTGATTACAATTAGAATTGCTGTGTTTATAATGCAGAAACAGGCGAAAGATGATGATGGTAAAAATGTTGTTGGTATCTAAATAATTGCGAATGTATATTTCTTTAACATGTGTCATATGCACATATAATTTATTCCCAATCAAAAAAAAAATAACATGATAAGAATAAAAATGGAAATAAACAATATTTTCACACGAGACAGTCTACTTATATAAATATATCATCACTATTATCAATTTTGATTGGTAACAAAATAAAAATTTATAAATACAGGACTTTTATCGTTAAACCTCCTCCAAGGATTCATAAAATCCCTATTTCATTCCTTTTCCCATTGTTTGATCATTGCTTGCTTCTTTTCTTCATTATTTTATTTCACCCAAAAGAAACGATGACAGTAACATTTCTAAGAAAAGAAGTGAACAATGATATAAAACAATTGATTTGGCCGTCCTCTTCAACGATAATCTGTACCCTTTCTTTCTGGCAGCGATTGGTATTAATCTTTTTAAAATTATCTGCATTTTTCGCGTATAATAGCGCACGTCTTCCACAATTTCTAGGTGGAAGTGGCTATCCAACTGAGAATGTGGATATAATACAACCATACCTTCCTGATAAGATGCTCTCGCCACAACGTGATGAATCCGGTGATGGCAAAAAGTTGGATAAAGTGGCGGTTGTAATTCCAATGCACCTTAATGAAGAGAGATCAAAGACTCGGATGAAAAGATTATTGGAGCAATTAGCGTGGCAAACTTGTGTACCTAACATTGTGATCGTGGTTGATGATTGTTCTTCTTGCCAATATCAAGATTCAGAAATTTTGCCTGAGAATTATGAACTTGCTGTGAAAATTGAGAAATTGAAAAAGCGTGTGGGATTCGCTTTTGCCAGAAATCGTGGAATCGAGTGAGTTTATCTTTCATCTCTTAAAATCATTACATGTGACGGTTTAAATTAACACCAATGGCGTTATCACTAGCATCGCATCTAAACATTATTCACCTACAATGGTGCTGTTCACTGAAATCCACTGCCTTCCAGATATAAAATGGATAGAACATGCATTAGAAGCCTATGATACACGTAAAAGACAACGTGGCTTTGATAGGTTTCTCTTATGCGGTCAAACACGTGCAATTGGAAACACATTGTTCGACTTCTATCACAACATCAACGGAACTTTGAATGGTCGATTTCTCCCGCACCATGACTTCTCAATGTTATACGGAACGTTTGTCAATTTTGCAGCTCCACTTCCCGTCGTCAGTCGCATTCGATTTGATGATGGTTTTAGCGAAGGCGCTTTTGATGATGTCGAGTTTTTTGTTCGAGCGAGGGAATTTGAAGTTAAAACCTTTCCTATTCCTGATATGATGGTTAATTATGATTTTGGTTATTGGGGTAGTGATAATAATGATATCAAGTATACTGTTAATAATGTTAATGGTGTCTTGGAAGATCAAGAAGAGGGGGAGGAACAAACTGTTGCAAGATGGAAAGAGTTTGTCTATTTTTGTAGGAACTATGTAATGTTTTTTCGTCTTTTCCGTAAATTTGGTGTGTGGCATCCATTAATGCTGGCAAAGCATCCCGAATTTACAAATTATCTTGAAATTTCTCAAGAGATTTCCATAAGTTAATTTTAAAAAAAGGTAGGTGTTTATTAAGGTTCATCTTGCCACAATAATTTCGACATTTCAAACTCAAGTTTGATCAATTTTAACTATTAGTTGGATGCGTAATAAAATGTTTTTTGCCATTCGGAATGACATTTACAAGTTTGAATGCCAAGATCTAAGGCACAGCTTCATTTCCATTGGCTTGACAAAAATATATATTCCGATTCACTTAATTGTTAGTAGTGTATATTTGATATTTGACAGCGGGCCTTTTTTTAACAAAAAACTATACTTAAAAAGGTGTGTGGAGCCCCAAACTTATTCTTGAAACATTTATTGGGGGCTTCGAGTTTTAAAAATAATTAGGTGGTTTATGATCTGTAAATTTGGTAGGATATGATGCTAAAAAGCATCGACAATTGTAAGATTAAATTTTAAAATTTATAACTTGCAAATAAAAATCCTCGTAGCAAAAATCAGATTCTTGGCATATCAAAATAAATCTACAGCTGCCAAATCTTCGGTCATACCTGAAGTGTCGAATTCATTCGATTTTGTATTTCTTCTAAATATGCTTTTATCAAGCAGCCCCAAAACTTGAAATTTTTGGATAAGAATTCACCTGAAATTCTATCGATTTTCAAGATTAGCCAATGGATTTTTTAATTTCTATTCAGAATCCGTAGATTATAGCAGCATACAATTTTAGATAAACCCCACAAGGTATTACTGGGAAATCTCAAAAAGTGAATCTGCCACTTTGAAACCTAATATCTCAAAAGCCAGTGATCCCATTTAAATGAAGATATCCCCATCATCCGAGACAAATCTATGGGGATCACTGGATTTTGGGATATTGTGTTTCAAAAGTGACAGATTCGCTTTTTGGGATTTCCGGTAATATATTGCAGGGGTAACTTTTTATATTTCGAAATACCGTAAAAACTCGGAAATAAGCAATCCCTGAAAGTAAGCACCCCTGGCCCGCATTATAACCATTTTGACCAGCATTATTAGTAATTTTGTTTCGGGGTGCTTATTTTCCGAGTTTTACGGTATATGTTCCCAAGCATATCGAGAAAGAAATTACAACCCCGCTAAGCCGAACAACCGGATTTGGGTCCAGAAACAGTTACATATTAACCCGAATTTATTAATACCCCTGGTTTATCGAAGGTTTGATGTCCAATCAGAACTATAATGTAAAATAGCATTATATTTAATGCGCCTGGTACTAATCCTAATCAGTATAGGATCCTTTCATAGACAAAGTTGGGGCTGGCTGTACACAAAAAATTAGTAGTGAAAAAGTTCTAGCCCTTCCTCGAAAAATTCAACCAGAATATTCTTTTTGGTTCGAGACACAGACAACTAACACAACTTATTTGTTTATTTATCACAACAGAGAAATTCCAGCAAGCCAGCCATAAAGCTTGCAGGTACGATGACGTTTTTCATTGAAAGGAGGTACTGTCAAGGAGGATCAGCGTAGAGTTTTTTCTATTTTGATGTGTATATTATGCATGATTGTGTCCACATGCATAGACTACATTGTTTCAATGTAGAAAATACCTTTTACCCCACAACCACAACCTTTTCATAAGTATTTATCATCTATCTAATCGTAATCGATATATTTACGTGAATATAACCAATCGGACGGTCCGACTAAATGTCCGACTCGAAAAAAAAGAGCGGTTTCTTTTTCCCTTGTTACAAACATTATTAACGATATATTTCTATCAGCAAGAATTTTGAAGGAAAAGTTTTTTTGCCCATTTTCTTTTACCCTTCCTTATACATTACTATGACGACGATATACTGTAAGTGCGGCCTTGCGCCACACCTTCCCCTGTGTTTGTGTCAATGTTTTTGTGTTCAATATCGATATCGATATGTTAAAAAGAACGATAATCATTGCAAGTTTCACATACGGCTTTCCTTTTCGCGATTATCATCAGCATAACATTTCGTTTCGTTTACGCATATTTGATTCTATATATGCCTTAGTTATATGATTTCGATCGTGCGAATTTTATTTTTACCAGTTCACTTGATTAAATCTTTATTAATAGTTGTGATAATTAATATTATCGATATTTTGATATAAATTCCACTACCTTCCCAATTTAATCATCATCATCATTACTTCATTTCACTTTTTCTCTCTTCTTTTTCTCCAAGGCGATGTTATGTTTAATTTGTCTCTTTTCTTTCATCTACTACTCGATCTCTCAAAATATCTTTGAATTCAAATTATTATTCAAAGTAATTTTTTAATAAAACACAAAAGATTTTTTTTTCTAACTATTTCAAATCACCAGAAAAACATCGCTAACTTGATGCTTGAAATGGATAGATAGCTGAAAGCTTCACATTTCGTTTTATTGTTTGAGTTGATTCAAATTTTTTTATTATGAATTCTAAACGAATGGTTACTAATTTGGGGATCTTTTACTTAACACGAAACGTGATCAATAGCGGATAAAAAGATTGTCTCATGTGACAGGAGTCTATCCTGCAAAAAGTAGAGTTCCTTGCATATGTATTTATTATTGAGAATGTTACCTAAATTTGCTTTTTCGTGTATATCGGTTATTTGAATACAAAACAACGATCCGATCGGTTATCTGATGGAAAAGCAGCAGACAGAATGATCAACTTTTTAGGTAACAACTGCGTATACATACACACGTATGTGTGTATGGCATTTTTAAATATGACTATTAATAAATAACGCCAAAGTATGATTATTAAAAAAAAAGAAAAGACGCATGATCAATTATGAAATCAAAAATAACGATCGAAATTTGAATGAAATTTTAAATTTTGAGATTTATTAGTAATTTCTCGATCCTTCTTTCTCCAGCTTTTTCTTTCTCGTTCTAGATTTTGCGACTATATAATGACGATGTTTGTTTTATTAGACAGATATGGGCATCTTTTTTTTCTTGTTTATCAAATCTCGCATGACTTAATGAAAAATCAGTTTTTACAGATCCAGATGTTCAGATAGACATATGATGGAGAAAATGCCAGAACAAAATAAAAAAGCAGCAAGCAGGTGATCGTTTCTACAATTGTTCGAATCTCTATTATATGGATAATGTTCTGGAATGGGCATTATCGTTATCAATACTTATCGGCAAATCATTAGGTCATCAAATCAACGAATAATGTTATCGTTATTTGTTAAGGAGAAAGCCATTGAATTCAAAAAAACGTATCGTGAAAAATTATACAAATCTTGATCTTAAGAACTATAGAATTAGTATTCTATTATGTGCGTGTATACACACAGTCTTTTACATACATGTGTATACATATATGTACATGGACTTGTGTATATGTATGTCTAGATGTGTGTTTAAAAAAGGTGGTAGTCTATCAATTCAATAAGTTTCTAATGTGCGTACTTACTATAAAAATATGAGAAATTGAGATCTCGTGGAACAATCATCACAAGCTCGTTGTTTTTTACGACGAATACTATAATGGCAAAACCTAATTTAATCAATAAATAGTAAATACTCAATGCGCGAAAAATTACCGATCACCCGAATATTGGGAATTCGTCGATGGTGAAGTTGATTTTAGTCGGGCAACTGATGTCATTAATGCAAAAAGTTTGTTATGTGTGTGTGTGTACATGTGTATTCTATGTAATATCAGAGTTGTGCACAAGTCAATGTCTCAGAGCAAGAGAATTATGATACTGATGAATAAACTGAATTGGCCATCTTCATTTCCTCATATCATTAATTGAAAATTATACGATGGTTCATTTTATTATTCAAGTATTGTATATACAAAATATATATACATATATATATATATATGTATATATATATATATATATATATGTATATATATATAAATTTATTTATTTATTTATTTTCTTATTATTATATAATATATATATATATATATATGTATAGTATATATTAATGTTTTTGACGTTGATACACGTATATTTATTAATATTAACACATTAAACATGTAACAATGCGCATGTTTTTTTGCCGCTCATTAATTTATTTTTTGAATCGCCGTTTAAATAGCCAATCGACAATTTTCCATTTGTATTACCGCACCACCTCAACCAGTCTGCATATCGCAAATTCTTAAAAAAATAAAAAAGAAGGAGAAACGGGAAACAAGACATGAACAATAACAATCATTGTACATGATCAACATGGAGAAAAAAAATAAAATGACCATTTTATCAATAATCACAAAAAAAAGGCAGATTACAAATTTGATGACAAAGTAGAAAAAATCAACGAACGCTAATCTGAAAATCACTGTATGTATCAATTTACTGATTACAGCAGAATGGGGAAATCGAATGCAAAAGCCATCGTTCGTCTCCACAGATGCTATTTCAAAAATGTATCGTGTGCTATGTGTGTGTGAAATGTTTACACAAGACAAATAAAAATAACAATAATAACAATAATCATCACCGTTAAATTAAAAAATCCATATATTACTTATATAATAAATACATTATACTTGTCATCGACAAATAACTATTAAAATCGATATCATCAATTTCCTCCTCATCACCAATAATTAATAAATCAAAAAAAAAATGCATATATACACAAGGCGGTATAGAAAGAACGCTAATTTAATTCTAACCCAACCAACTCAACCAATCAATCATTCCAAAAACCAATCAAAAAGAAAAAGTGCTTCTTTCTCACACCACCACCACAACAATAATCACCCATGTCTGTCTGATATTAATATTTTTCATTATCCGACATCCCACTTTTGCGCACTCTATAATTCATTTCAATTCATTATCGATATATTTATTGATTATTTCCTATATGATCATATTTTTCAAACTTTTATAAAAATGTGAGTTTTTTGTAAAAAAAATGAAAATCCAACTCTTTTACTTTTGGCTGATCTTCTCCATTTTAATTGTTAAAATTAAAATTCCCTTTAGTCGCCATAACTACTTTTTTTTTTGTTTTTTGACTGTTGATAAAAAGTTACCACAGAAACAACAACTAATGCTATTATCATTATTAAAAATTTAATAGTCTTCACAAAAGCGCTTTTAGATTTTTAACCTCAACCTCGTCATTATTTTTGACAAATTTATTTAAATTATTAACGGACATTATTATTTCGGGTGCACTTTTTCTTGAAACGTAAATTTTGTATATTGTACTCCCTCCCACGTCCATTTATAAAACCCACATTCCATATCCAATTCGACAAGAGACTGTGGTCCCAGTGCTGGTAAGTCGAAAGAAATCGGCCCAGTGTCGCTCAATACTACTAAGATCAATATATATATATATATATATATACACATATATATACCCATTTTTTTATGTGTGGTGTGTGTATATATATATATTTATATATATTTATATATATGTAGTAATTTTTTTATTTATTTAATAATAATATTATTATGATGATTATTACGATTGTTTTTATTTATTATTCCTCGTCTCTTTATTACACACTTAATATCCCCAACTTTTATCTTTGCCACCTTTTTAATGAATCTCGGCTTTCTGTTATTTAATTTTTTTATTTTTTGCCGTCAATCGGTCAAAGTTTGAATTTTCCTTTACCAATCGTGGCTACCACTACTACTCTTATTATCATCACTAGTTGTTATCATCTATCATCAATATTTTATGAGTAGTAGCAGTGGTAGGTGGAATAATAATAATAGTAAATAAATAATAATAATTATTATTATTATTATTATTTTATAATATAAGGTAAAAAAAAAAAAAACGAGAATTCTCTTCTTCGATATTTTTTAATTAGGAGTATCGAAAAATGCACAACACACAATTGATTAATCGTACACATTTACGCGAACCATTTTTTTCGTCCACAATATAATATTCTTTATTATATTTTACTATGCTATATCTATATTTATGCTATATATTATAACATTATATTATTATATCTGATGCCTTACTTTACCTTTTCTTTCCCATTCCTTGAGGGTTTCGTGCGTATATGTGTATAATGTTGTGTGTGTCATGTTTTCTTTTTTTATCATGGATATTTTTCGCCTTTTTTATATTCCACAAAACTTTTGAGTATATATATCACGTCTTATTTGAGTGAGTGAAATGTGAGAGAGTAGTGTGTATATGCGATATATGTTTATAAAAAAAGCATATATTTTTTTTCGCTAGCTTTTTTTTTGCTAGTATCACAAAAAAGAACAAAAAAACGATTCATTTTTAACGACAAAACAATATTATTATCGATACCAATCATAATTTTTAACGGACATTTGCTGCTATCAAGAACATAATATAATCATAATCATCATAATAATTTGTTATTTTACTTTTCGATAACTTGCTAATAATCAATCTCTATTTTCTTTCTTCCCACTCTTTCTTTTAAACCATAAAGCAAATCGCTGATATAAACAACAAATCGCAACGACTTAATAATTTTTTGATCCAAGGGAATTTCTCGAGATAAGCACACACGAAAAACTCCAGCCAAATCGTATGGTAAGTGTGCGTTTAAGATTAGCAGTAGGCGGGGTGTCAATGTATTTGGTTCACGCGTTTCTTCAATTTTTTGACATTCTATTCAAAATGCAAACAACTTTAATCAAAATGCATCCCCCGACTCCATCTGAAACAGACACATACAGGTTCTCACTCCTCTCACTAACGACAAGATAGCAATAATAACAATAATAATAATAATAATAATAACAACTCACTTCTTAAGTAATCTTATAAAGAATAATAATATAAATAAAGTATGACAAATGTGCCAGCATTTTCACAGGTGAAGGAATTTCTCCGAAAATGCAACCTCCTGGAGTATTACGAAAGGTTCATCGCGGAGGGTTTTGATGACCTGCAATCGGTATGTGCGCGCTTTTTGGTTTTGGTATTTCCGAGAATTCTCGAAAAAACGGCGTAAAAGTCTGTGTGAATGTGTGTGTCTTTGTTGATAATGAAGGACAGTGAGAACTATTTGTTTGGTTATTATCGTAAGGGTGAGGATAGAATGAACACGGACATTTAAGGAGGTAACGTAATGAAACTATTATTATTATTGTTGTGGTGGTTATTACTACTATTAGTCCTACAAGAAGACAAATTTTTCGAGGTTTTTGTTTGTGGTCGACTTTTTAGCAGCAATAATATTCAATAGTAAGGAAGAAATCAACAAACCAACAAACACCGCGTGAATTTTATTATTTATGAAAAATTTTATACCGACTAACAGCTACCGTTAGACGGAGACGAACATACCGTATCAAGAAAATATATTCGTTTGTTGTGTAACTCTTTCCTTGAAAAATAACCGTCACTTTCTCCATCACACCCGGCAATCGATTGATGTTACGCCACCATAAATTATCATACAAATACGCATGCACACACTTTAATCTTGAATTAATCCCATTCTTTTTTTTGATATAATTAATTAATCCACTCCTATGTTCAAATACAGCTGCTGGATGTGACCGAATCAGATCTCATCGCGATGGATGTGAAGAGAGGTCACCGAAGGGTGATTATATAATTGTGTTTCTCTAAAAAGAATAAACGTATGTTGTAAAGATTTACAAGTTTATTAATATCTTTTATTTTTATTATTTCCCACATTTGTACTTTCAACTTTTTTATGTTCTCTGTTTCGTCCCTATCACCACATACCCACCATTACACCCTCACCAATCTATTCATCTCTTTCCTCCCCACCCCCGTCTGACACATATACACAAATTTGATTAGCGATTGCAACGTGAAATAGCCACCGTCAAAGGGTTTCCTTCTGACTCACCTTTACGTATACCACCCGGCCCCGCATTTGAAGAAACGAGTATAAGTGAGTGCGTGGTTGATAATGAAATCACGTGAGGTTCGTGGCGTATTCGGTTCTAATTAATTTTTATTGGTTTAACTATAGCAGCGCAACAACCAACAATACCATTGCAAATGCAAGTTCAAATAGCATCGCCAACATCAATGTCAAATGACACCACCTCAATGCACGTCAATAGCATATTTCAAAACAAATACGCAAATCTTAACACACAAGCTAATGGTCATCATGGGCCTACATCGTTACCATTGTCATCATCAAGAGATCGCCATCAATACACGACAAAAGAAGACGATCTCCCAGATAACAACAGAGATGCACAAGACAATGGGAATCCTAAAAGAAAGTATAAACGTCATCCAAAACGGGACAAGAATGCACCGGTGAAGCCGTTGTCTGCCTATGTAATGTTTGCTCATCGTGTACGTGAAGAATATCAAGGTCAAAATATTTCGTTCCCGGATATGGCAAAGATCGTAGGCGATCGATGGAAAACTATTCCAACTTCTGAGAAAGAGGCCATTGAAGCTGATGCTGCCAAGGCTAAAGATAAGTATCGCGCGGAACTAGAAGTATACAAAACTACGGAACACTGGAAGGTAAATTGTTTTATTGATTGGATTGCTATAGATCTTTTTGTGAAAATATTTTAATTCCCCGTTATATTATTATAATTATATTTCATTTAGCAATATCAAGATTACCTTAAAGATTTCAAAGCTAAATACGAGACTTCACCATTCCGCGGTGATATTATTAATAAACAACGAAAACGATCTAAACTTGCACCATCGCCAGAGCCAGACAACATCAGTCACTCTGGTTATTCAAGTGCTCGATCCACTTCGCTCGGATATCAAAGTAGTGGCAGCAGCAATTCGAATGGAAATGGTGAACATAACCTTCAGAATCATCATCAAGGAACCCCACCGATGAATGATAGAGGAGGAGGCGGAGGAGGAGCACCAACTCATCTTCATACATATAACAACACGGGATCAAATTACAATGCATCATATCATAATAATGGCTATCACAACAATAACAATAACAGAAATAACAGCAGCAGCCATAATCATCATCAATTTTCAAATAATGTGTTTACCAATTTTAACAATCCAAATAATCCAACTAATCATCATACCACAGATAAACATGCGATGAATTCGTCATTTAATCAGCAGCGATCATCACCAGCGAATAATAATAATTCTATTGGTGGTGATGATGAATCTTCAATACCTCAGAGCGGAAATACTAGTAGTTCTGGTAGTGGTGGTAGTGGTGGTCGTCGAGGATTTGATGATTCCGGTGTTTCGACCGATAATTCTACGACTACTAGTACTAATAATACTCCTCCGGCTGCTACAGTGGAAAATGAAGACATGAATAATAATAACAATGTGAATAATTCAACTCGATTGTTACAGCAGCAGCAGCAGCAGCAGCAACAGCAGCAACAGATAACATCTCTTCAACAGCAATCCACTCAACAACCATCACAACTACCACCACAACAACAGCAACAACAGAATTCATCAACCGCAATTCCTGTTGAACGAACATCTGTTCGCTAAAAATGATACTCATTTTGTGTCGCTTGATGTAATGAAATTCACGAAAAATTCAAATAACTAAAAAAATTTTTTTTTCTTATCGTTTTATCCCTTCTTTGTTTTCTCTCTTTCTTCGCTCTTTAAAAAATTATTAGCTAGCTGTTGTGGTTCATCGTAATCATTATCCATTAAAAAAGCATTAAAAGCAGGATACATACTTTGAGGATATTTCTAATAATTTCTGTATGATTTTTTCTTATGTTTTACAATTCAAGATTAAAAAAAGTAAAAAAAAATTTGCCCCTTTTTCGTTTTCTCTTAAAATTTCGACACAAAATTCTTTTCCGTTCAGTTCACGCTTTCACCTTTTTGGAATTTAAATTTACACGCCTTATTTGCATTTTGAACGTTGCACATAATAGTCACAGGTTATCTGCAATCTTCTGTGATCACATGCCTCTATATCAAATTTCATTGATTCTTTTATATTTCTCTATTCATAACTCTCTATCCTCCCCTTTCTCAAAAGTAACACACAGCACAACATTTATCATTGTTTGTTCCTTTTATTCCCTACTCATTCACCACTCAACATCTCTCAATTATAAAAAAAAAAGTACGTATAAAAAAATAAGTAATTATTTATGCTCATACAGTACGTTCAAAACCAAAAAAAAATCTAAAAAAAAACCACAAAAAAAAATTAAAATAACGACAACATATATCATCAATCAATGTAAATAAATCAAACTTGTATTTATAAAGAAAAAAAAATTTCCGATCTAAAATTCCCTAATTCTTTGTATGCCCATCATATACGTTGTTACGAAACAATGTCCTTTATTTTTTTTTTTAAGTTTATGATTTAAATTATTGAAAACAATGATGACGAATTGTATTAGATAATTGACATTAATTAACTATCAATAAATAAGATGAATATTGAAGTTGCGATACACGTGAATCAGGGTGTATATTACATTTGTCGAACTGAATTTGGTTAGTGCCGTTCCAACCCGAGACAAAACCGAAAAAATGGATGATTGCATGTTACTCATATCCAAAATTATCCTTTTGGCTTTTCACCTGCATGCGTATACTTCATCAAAATTACGCAATTCTGATATAGGCACGCGTGCGATTGTCACGCATGTTTCGAATTGCGTAATTATGCAAACCTTGTTTTCAAATGGTTTGGTTTTTTTGAGAGTTGAGACAAAAGAATTTTTGATGTTGTTTGTTGTCAAATCTCATTAAATTATATATTAAGTCCATTGTTTGTGTTGTGAAGATGCATGTATGCCACAACAGGTTCGAAAACTTGATATTTCTTTTTTTTTTCTATGCAAGACGAAAATTTGAAATTCGATACGTGTGTACAATGCGCGTGTAGAGTGTCCTTTATTTACCTTTCTTTCTGTCTCCGTGTCAACTGAATGTTTATATACGCCTATTGTTTCCCTTTGCATGTTATATGTACAGAACTCTGGGTTGTAGCGGACCTGCATATTATTCAAAGGCAAAACGGGCAGAGGGTTTTTGTTTCTTTGATTTAGTCTCGCTATATTTATTTGTTAGAAATGATAGTTGCACAACTTGATTGCGCAATTTGTGGATCTTAATTTTATTAAATGCGTTAAAAGTATGACAATAGAAAAAGGAATGGTTGTTTTTTTTTGATTTAATGTCGAGATACCGTTTTTGAATATAAAACGATAAATTGGTTTTTTTTGCCCAAAAAACTTTTATGGTTAGTTGATTAAAGGCGCAAGTTGATAACTTTGGGATGGTGGCAAAATTATTGTGGAAAGACCCTACTGATCGTAGCATATGAGTTCAGATCACTAATTATATAAACCTGGTACCTTACGGGATTAAACTATAATTTCTATCAAGATTTTGTTCTGCCCAAAAACTCACTATAGGGAACCTTAGTTGGAGTACCACGCCCCCTCACTCCCCTATGACAAAATAATAAATATTAAAACATAAATTCAAGTGATCAAAAACGTGGCGAGGAACTCATGTAAGGGATCGTTGTGGACTGTAATAAAAAACGAATGTTAATGCTTGTTTTAGCTTAGCGTTAGGGTTAGAGGTTAATAAATTAAATTGCCTTCCCAACGTCTGTTTCTCATTCTTTGTTTTTAGTTGGTACTATGCGGCATGTGGCATACACCGTATTTTTGATCATCTAAGCGTGCATATTTGTTGGCTGCGCTGGGGGAAGTTAACTTCCCCAAACCAAATCACGTAATTTGTGGCGCTCCGTAATGTATCCATAAACTTAAATTTGGACACATGACTTCTAAGAGGACACCTGTAATTCATGAGAATACAATTTATAATGATTATGCGATTTATGCACGACAAACTCATATTAACTAAAATATTAATTAATGGAATCTTCCGTAACAATCTCTCACTTTTGCTGTTCCCAAGGGCGTGATTATATGGTAGTTATATTATGTCTCCTAATAGAATTCTTTAGCAAAATGAACCAATAGAATTCACGTCTCTCTAGCAACATTTTGCTTATTACATTTATAAATTAATTTCTTCGATCTCTAATATACATGGCTGCAGTTTCGATATTGGCAAGATTTTCATTGGGAAAAACGACAGCGAAGTTGCAAAAAATGTTGCTCAAATTTACTTAAGGCAACCGCGCAAAAAAATCTGTTCGTAATTGTAAAAATGAACTTAATTAATTAACATATAACGTCAAAAAAGATTGTTTAATTTTAGTTTATTGGTGAAAGTCATTCTAGACATAGTGCAGACTCGGGTTGAGCAGTGTTGTCACTGGACCATGGAAATTAACTGGACAAATTCATATAATACAGTATAATGATAGCAAATTGATACTTTTAAATAGGTTTTATGATGACTGGGGCTCCCATTGGAAGTCTCCCAATCAAATATTTATTTTATTTCCAATGGCCTTCCGGTAACAACACTGGTCATGTGTAGACTAATTAGACTCTCGGTATAGTGAAGTTGCTCGAAAACGGTCTATAAAATAAAATTCTCTCGATATAATGAATTTTCACCGGATGAATTCATTATTACGAGAACCGTCTGTACTTTAACGAAATACTTTTTTTACTGCTTATACAATCAAAAGATATCAAAAAAAGTCTATAGTAAATTTATTTTACATGTTAACTATCTAATCACCGACCATTAAATATGCAAATAAAAAATCTAAGCATTTAAAAATAACGATAACAAAAAAACGCTTAGTATGCTCTCGGATGATTTTAGTTCCCGGATGATGTCATGTGACGATAACGATAAAAAGTGATAGCGAATTGATACCGATACATAACGATAAACGTTAATAAACTTACAACAATGTCTTCTAGTCGTCAAGGTAACTTCATACGTTTTAACGATTCCTATACCTAGTACTCGCGATTGTTTAAAATATTTAAATTTTACGAATAGGTGGTAAACTTAAGCCTTTAAAACAAGCGAAAAAAAAAGAGAAAGACATAGATGAGGTAAAGCTTTTAAGATTAAAAATATTTTCAAGAAAATTTAATTTTGCCACGGTGGTATTTCTCTGTTCCATCAACATAGAGTGATCTGGAGTTCAAAAAGAAGAAACAAGAGGAACAAAAAAAATTAAAAGAACTTCAAGAAAAAGCAGCTAAAGGTGGTCCACTTGGTATGTTTTGATTTCCTACATCATAAAAAAATCGACATTACTCTTTAATAACAATAACTTACGAATCGTGATAATAATAATAATAATAATAATAATAATAGTCGGTGGCGGAATAAAAAAATCCGGCAAGAAATAACATGATCAATTTCAGTTCGCGATGATACTTGATTATTCTCTTCTTATAAGTGCGTCTAAGGAGATTTAAAACCGGGATTACAGTCTCGTGTCATGTTTTTTTTATTAGCTCCTTTTAAAAAGCAATACATCATTCAAAGCTTTACTTTAATCTATCATTTTTAAAGCTTTATATTGTGGTTAGATATCAACTGTAACTGAGAATCCATGACACTTTTTATATATCTAATTTTTTACTCTCGTATACAAAACTTGAATATATACAAAATTTCTAAGCTTTGTTTATACATATTCATTTAATAAGTTATTATCGAACTGATATCAGGTAAAAATTTAAGATATGTTGGATTTTTTTAGACTTAAAATATTAGTAATTCCGCATCGGGGAATTGAACCCCGGCCTTCCCGGTGAGAGCGGGAGATCCTAACCACTAGACCAATGCGGATGAATTACATTTCTGCTTTATTTGTACTTCTTATTGAATTAATCACATTTTGGACCATGTGATCTGGATCATTCTATATATCAATTAGTTATTTTTGTAAACATATCGTTGCGCGATTTCGGACATTCCAGAATAAAACACACATTTCATATATTAATAAATTCTTTTTTTTACTCTCAATAAAAATATTTTCTTTTTCAGATTTGATTAGTTATTAACAAAAAAAGGAAAAGAAATTATTGCTTAATAAAAAGTCTTAATCAGATCAAGAAACTATATTTTAAAAAAAGCACAAGATAATTCTGTTTTAAAATATATGAATATTATTATTTGTTGACAAAATATTATTTAATTTGTGTTTTATATTAAATATAATATATTTTTTAATATTGATCTTTTTTTATTTTTTTATAAATTATCTCATTCTAAAATTATATTAGAAAAATTATATAATTTAATATCAACTTATTATTATAGATATTTAATTAGATTAAGATTTAAAAAATTAGGATTATCAATTTATAGTGGCAATCAAAAATAATGCAATGCTTAAAATTTTTTATTAATTATAATTAGTAAAATATGTATTTTTTCTTACATATAAAAGTTTTTAATTTTACTAACAAATATTTTTTA